ATCATAAATCTGACTTGACCGTCGGAGTGCTTGCGTCAGCGCCTACCCCATCAGGGAGAGGCCTCGAGTGACTGACGGCGTGCTACGTGTGCAGGAGGATTTAGCTTGAAGACATATCCTGTTGGCCACGTGTCCGAGCCGTTTTTTGAGGTCAACAAATTGAATTGATGTTTTGTACACGAAAGAAAGCAACACGGTAGGTGAAACATGTGAGATTGATAAGGAAGTTGCAATATTGTTTCTTGGTTTGAGTTTCTTAGGTCCCTCCTCCAAGATTTTGTTTGTCATAAATATTCTTCGTTAAGTTTGTTAAGATTTGGAGTTTCATATTAAAATGTCAATCTTATTAAGAGAAGTAATTCACACTCTTATAAATTGATTTATATTTTCATCTTTATTCGATGTGAGATTTTATCCCTTAACATGCCCCCGGCGCCCAGCAAGATGGTGGCTCGCTTGAACAGACCAATCTTGAAATCCATGTACTCAATTTTTTTGAGTTTTAATCAGANGTTGGACGAATTAGTCCCTAAACTTTAATAACTGTTCAAGTTATACAAAATATAAACCTAACAAGATTAATCAAGAAAAATAAGAATTTAACTAACTACTTGTCTTAGATAAAAAAAAAAAGGTAAAATCCACATTGTTTGAGTTATTCATTTTAACAAGATGAGGTGCCTTTTCATATGGATTCTCAACAATTACTGTGTGCTAAATGAATATAATTATGCTCATGAAGAAACTAATTGATTGTTCTTTGTTTGGGGTAAAAGAAAAAAAAGAAAAATCTTGAAAAGGAGTATGAACATAAATTTCTTGGATTATTGTCCTTTGATACACAAAAGCATGATAGTAATAGGAATAGGATAAAGAGATGTCATAAAACTATAACACAAAGGTTAATGTAATGAGCCAATCAATTTTGTACCCACCATATGATATATCACTTTCTCACTTATTTAACTAGGTGACCTGCTCGTGGCTTCACCTGACCGGTCCAATTACTAGACAGCCTTAAAAAAAATATGTTTTATACTTTACAATTCTAAGTCCGAGAAGTCCGTTTCGATATCGATCCCTCTTTTTTCAAAGAAAAGCTCGGGATAAAGCCTTTTCATTTAGATAGACAAGTCGTCTTTTTTCAATGATGGAAATAAGGAGAGGCCCATCGTAGCAATATCAACATACAAGTCGATGAAACATAAAGGCAAGATGTGAATGTATGAACTTGAAGTGTATGTGGGCAGCTTTTAATCTAACAAATGTACTTCGTGATTTAATAAACATAACCTACAGTACAAGTTTGGCAAAATAGATAAAGATGTTACACCAAATAATGACATATAACATATGTTCTATTAATTTAAGTACTGTTCTGTGTTAATGGGAAAAATACTGTGAAGTGGTCATTGCTATTTTCCGCGCGATCTTGAAGGGAAAGAATAGAGACGTCATTGCTATTTTTCTCGAGATCTTGACACAGTTATAGATGTTTACGATATTTTTCTGAAATTGTAACGTGAAGGGTCATAGACGTCATTATTATTTTTCTCATGATCTAAACATGAAGAGTGATGTTATTTTACTATTTTTCATGTCAAACAAAAAAAAGAAATATATTCTCATTT